TGGGGTTTGAAGGAAAGACACAGGCCAAAGAACTGTGTGGCTCGTTGACAGTATGCAAAAATGTCATTGTTAGGTTGTTCTTGTGGTTATAGGACGTGTTCTTGGAATAAGAAGAACTTGAGGTAGGTGTCGTAGGGAGTGGCCGTGTAAGGAGCGGTCCAGTGTCATTCACCTCAGGGTCGTGGCTGTGCAAACACATGCCCAGTCAACATTTCAGGCTGTGGAAGTTTATCCTTCTGAAAGCAGTGAGCTTGCTCCTAGGCAGGCGTGACTGCAAGATCAGGTCTGTCATGACAGACCATAAAATCCCAGAGGAAGCTGCTCAGAAGTGGGCATTGGGCATCTATTGTTTCCTCTCTCTCCCTCTGCTTTTTGTTTTTCTTCTTTTTTCCCCTCTCCTCTGTTACAAAATTAGAAATGGATGTGTTATTTTATTTTTTTGGGCTCTAAAATAGTAAGAGCAGTGATAATACCCTTTACTGAAGCCAAACACAGTAAAAAAAAAAAACTTCACTGGTCACTGTGGAGGGGGCTCAAGCTGTCCAGTGGAGTGCTGTATGTGGTGGATATACCACCCCCATACAGACTGGAGCAGCTTAACTTTCCCTGTCACATCACATATTTGGCTTGAATTCAGTGAAGCTGTTCCTTAAATATTCAGTATTGCCTTAAACCAGGCCTGTGTCACAACATGTGCATTACATAATATTTTCAGTCTTTAAATCGAGTGTACGTGGACCTTGCATTCATAAACTGCTGAACTGACAGCAGCAGCGACGGGCAGGTCTTGCTTTAGTCGTGGTAAGGGTGAAATGCTGGTAGCTACAGCAGCAGCTCTCTGCACGCTGCGGTGCAGTGATGGCTCTATGAGTCCTTTGCTAGCCGGCGTGCAAGGCACGGCGTTTCTCCTCCGGGCTGACAAACTCCAGCGTGGAGCTGTGTCACCAGACCTCTTCCCTGTCCTGACCCAAGGCTGCAAAGCAGTGCCAACCTGGGGCTTGCCACCACCTTTGCTGCCCTCTGGGAGCCTGCCCTCCAGTTCTGGCTTCCCAGCTTCGGCAACAAAAATATCCTCAAATATCCCCCCACCTCGCTGTTCAGCTTTTTTTGGTGTCTGCCCCGCACAACGTGATGTCTTTCTTTCCCCAGTTTTGTCAGCAGAGCAGTTTGTGCAGCGGCTGACTTGGCTTATGTTGCATAAATTGTGGAAGTGTTTATTTGGTTTAAATTAAAAACAAAATAAAATTGGCAAGGTCTTTTGTCAGGCATATCGGCTCCCCAGTCTGTTCCTCAAATGGATCGCAGGCGGTGGTACAGGGGTGAGAATGAGCGCAGGGGACAACGAGGCAGAGATCCCCGCTGAGCCCCTTGTGTCATGATGCCACAGCCCTCGGGAGCCGCATCCCTGGAGTTACAAGATCGACTCAACTGCTGGGATTTTTATTTTTTATGGGTTTTTTTTTTGGAAATGATGCACTCGGGAATTTGTTGTCCTTCCAGATGCACGTGGTTGATACATCTGAGACATGCTTTCTGGGCCAAAAAAGATGCAGAAGAGCCAGCAACGCTGCAAGCAGGTATCCTTCACTTGCTGAGTGTTGCTTTAGCTCTGTAGACCAGAGGTGGCTAACACACGGTGATGAAGGGGTGTTCCCTCTCTATACTTGGCCACAAATTCAAGGTTGCCCTCAGTGGTCAGATGTACTGTGCCTTCTGCAGCTGGCAAGGAGAGCAGATACAGGTTGGGTTTCCCAGGTGAGACTTGAGTTGGCTGACTGCTGGAGACCAGACCAGTGAGTCCTGTCATGGAGCTGGTTTCATGCCAGTGGGCTTTGGGGCGCTCTGGCCAGGGTCAGAGAGTTTCAACTCTTGCTATATTTTCTGGAAGAAAATGGAGAAGCAAAAGCATATTAGCAAGGAAGAATAGAAGCAGTAGAATGTGTTAGGGATTGAAACAACACACGTGCATCTCGCACCAGATGTTAGATTATGCTGCATTTTACAGAGTATGCATAAGTGCTACCATATAGTGCGTGCCTGCGCCTGTCGGCTCCTTCCTCCCTTCTCAGCACTGATGCTGGTGCACAGATACGCTCACACTCAGTCTCTGCCCTGAAGAGTTTGCACTGTAACTGGATGTGGCTGGAGGAAGAAAAAGGCACCAGGGCACGCGGTGGCTTGTCCGGGGTTACACCGTGGAATAAAACAGAGCAGCAGTTTCCATCCTGTCTCCAGTGCTCTGCCTGTTGAGTACCAAGATCATAATGTAGCTTTTTATGCTTGCTTACTGTCCGCTGTGAAGCTCGATGCTTTATAGGTATTGATTATTTAAGCTTTGAGTTGTCTCTGATAGAGGAATGTTATAATAATTGTTAATATAGAAATTATTTGAAATGTAACCAGAGATAACATAGCAAAGGCAAAAGCAAGATCTAAGTCAATCAGTTCTTGGTATAACGTAATTAAGTGAGGCTTAAATGTAAAAAGCATTAATTCAGCTTTGATGACATGAATTGGTTTGGGTTTCTTAAGCAGTTGAGGAAATACAGAATAAAAGGGTGAACTCCTGGTCATACTAAAACGGATGGGAGCTTTGCCATTGATTTCAGCGTGGCTCGAGTTCCCCCAGCCTCGCATCGACAGCAATGCTGTGCTGCCTGCCCTGCCTACATCATTCTTGCTGCTGCTTTCACTCCTTACTCACCACACAACTTCCTCCGGCACTGGATGTGTCACTGAAGTCACATCGCCCCAGCACTCGGGGAGGAATGGCGATGAAGTAATGATGCTGCCTGAATCTGGGCCGAAATCACATCCTGATTTTTATTCGTCATTGGGTACAGAAGACGGAGACGTTCCCTGGTGCCTGCTGTCTGAATCCACCGAAATAAGACTAGTCATATGCTTAACTTTAACCACATGTTTTAGTGCTGTAGCGGCTTGGGTCTGAAAAGGCTGAATTAAGTGCAACTCCTTTTTCTCTGCTTTTGCTATTATTGTTAAAGCTGGATGTTGCAGCCAGCACTTCTACACATTTTTTTTTCTTGTGGAGAAAAAGAGAGGAATTTACTTTTGCTATCAGCAAGGTTGCTAGCAGTTCAAGTGGTCCGTGCTAGGCTCGGCAGCGCACGTCTGCTGTGACAGAGTGGGCCGAGTGGAGTCAAGGGGGTCCCAAACTTCCCTGCTGCTGCTGGTTGCCTGCAGATAATTTTGTGCACAACTGGGGACTCATCTCGGAGGGACATCTGTTTCTGCCGCGGACCTGATCCTGCAGGCTTTCTGCATGCACAGCTTCTCTCGGAAATTATGAGCATGCAGGTCTGTAAGATTGGTCCTATCGTGACAATTTCCTGGCGGAGGGAAAAGACAGAAACTATTTTTAAATGAAAGCTTTGAATCAGGGGAATATTGCAGAGTGCAGCAAAAAATTGTGTCAAAACCCTGAAATCATAGACTCGGCAGTTTTCTCATGCCAGCGGTTTTCATCTCTTCATGGTTTTAAGGCTGTGTTTTTGGAGGACTGGGCTGAGCATTTTTCAGGGAGAGGTTTCTATTCTCCCTGGTGCGCATTATCACAGCAGCAGCATCATTTTCTGTGCGAGTCAGGCTGGAGAGAGGTGATATGCTGTGATGTGTTCGCAGGGGTGGGACTTTGCAAAAAAACCTGTACTCTGCTTTGTACACAGTCAAAATGGTTCTCCTTTAAGTTTGCCCAGGAGTTCATTATTCAGTCTTTTTTTTTTTTTCCTCCCAGATTTGGTTTTATGTTCCTACCTTGGTGTACATTTCCAACTTTTCCTTCCAAGTTTCAGTGCTCAGTGGTCGCTCGGGAAAAACAAAAAAGAGAGAGAGTGTGACTTCTTCTTAACACTGGAAAATTATGTCCTCTTTTCCCCATCACTCGCTTTTGTATAGCTTAAGAATGACCCAAAGGGCTCTTGCTCAGATTTTCATTTAAAGCAAACCATCTGATTTGATCCGAGATCATTATTTCCCCCCAAAGCACTCTCAGAGTGATTTGAACATGTGAAAACAGGCAGTTTATAACCACAATTGTTTCCCTGCCTTTGATAGAGTGGTCACTAGTCAACAAATGTAAAATTCACTGCCTCGGAGGGAGATGCTTTAGTTAATTAGTTACAATCAGTACTGTGCTAAGAGACTCACTGCTGCTGGCCCGTATATTTCCCTGCTAATCTTGCTTGCTGGCTTTGCTGATCCCGGTACGTATATTGTGGCTGGTTTCCCATAGCCACCCTACGAGGAAGTGCCCAGAACCACATCGTCACAGGGAAGGACGGCAAGCATCTTTCTCTTGGGCCATTTTCTGTGCTCTGGGAGCCTGAGAGGCTGGGTGAGAAACTTGACAGATTTTGCTCTTTTGGTAACATGAAGTTTTCCAGCCCCAGCCTGGGCTTACAAATTGTAATTTCGGTTGCACGTTTCTGATACTGTCTTTTAGCAATTTTTTCCCCTTTTTTCTTCACCCACATGTCACTTCACGCGCTCCTGCAGTGCTCTGTGTGTTATCTGACTGCCTCCTTCCTCGTTGCAAGGAGCTGTGTTTCCTTGCCACTCTCTACCCAGGAGCATGTGGCTTTTGGTGTCACTCTGCATTGTCCCCACTGGCCATTTCTGGGACTATGGGGTTTTGGCAGCCTCCGAGGGCTGCCCGTAGGTAGCTGCCCAGCCCTGATGTACTGGCTCTCATGGCAGTGGGCCAGCCTTATGCTGCTGACACACCGTATTTGCAGACACCCATGTGCCTCAGGCCTTCGGGGGCTTGTCTGCAGCCCAGATATGTCATGCCGAGCTGCGTAGACCACCAGGCAAAGTCTGACCTGGCGATGATCAGTGCACAGGATCCTGTCCTACACTTTTTTACTGTTTGCATATGTGAGGTGGAAAGGAAAATCTACCTGGCACACCTTTTGGTTTCAAAACTTTGGGGAGAGGCAGCCGAAAAGCTTTGCGTTCACCCAGCTTTTGCTTTTTTCCAGGCGACCTGGTATCTCGAGCGATGCACCACCTCCAGCCCCTCAACGCCAAGCAGCACGGGAACGGGACACCGATGCACCAGAAGCAAGGATCGCTCTACTGGGAGCCGGAGGCTCTGTACACCCTCTGCTACTTCATGCACTGTCCGCAGATGGAGTGGGAAAACCCCAACGTGGAACCGTCAAAAGTCACGCTACAAACAGAGAGGTAAGAGCCACTGCACGGTGCTTAATGTCATGGTGAAGACGTTTTGTTAATAAATCAGCCTGGCTGGCTAATTGCTAATTACAGCTTGCGCGTGAGAGGCCGCGGAGCAGTCTGGTTTGGTTTAGGATCACCTCTTTGAAATCCGTTTCTCTCGCCGAAGCGCTGCGTGGCTGACCCAATATATATCAAAAGTGACACCCAGTGGCTACATACAACAAATTGGTTCCAGATGTGCACTCGGGAGAGATTTCCTTTTCCTTTCGTTGTTGCTCAGCTATTCTCTGTTTTGGAAAAGAAAATGAGAACTTCTATTTCTGGCCTAGCAGGTTCGGGTTTAAATGTGGGGTTTTTTTCTACACATTAATAGGTCTCAACAGCTGCGATTGGGGAAGTGGAAAATGAATAGAGTAGAGTGTAGAAAGGAGAGGTCGTTAAAGATGCTGGGCTTCAGCCGTGCCGAGTACCTGGGCGCAGGAGTAACCTCAGGGCTGCCCTGCATGGGGACGTGGCAGGCTCTGTTTGCGCTGCTGTTGTCCCCCCTTCTGCAGATGGCCAGGGCAGGGGAGGCAAGCCTGGGGCCCCATCCTGACTCAGGATCTGCCATAGGGTGAGAAGGAGACACCACTGAAGCTGGTGATGGGGTTACCAAATGCCTGTTGGCAAGCAGGGTGCCCAACGTAGGGCAGCTCTGCACCCGGGCGCTGCAGAAAGCAACCAGGACAGCTTGTCGGCCAAGAAAACAAAGCCATCTCCTGTCCAAAGGCCAACAATCTCTCTAGTAATGCAAGCCTCCACTTGGGTGCTGAGGCATGCCGTGCTATTTCTCTGCCGTGCTTCTCACCAGCATTAAACCAGGCTTCCCCAGTGCGGAGACGAGAGGAGCGGCTGGTGCTTGGAAGGTGCTGGGTATTCATTTTTTGGATGGGTATCCTGGATGCAAATGCAAGCTGCTTTTTCAAGCCGGGCTCCACATTTACATCCCAATGTATATATCGCTCTGGATGCATGCGCCAAACTCTGATCTGCACGTGTGCCCCGAGAGCTGCGCATACGGGGCTTGGTTATTGTTTCAGTATTCGGTCTGCATCTCAAAAGCAGCGTTTGAGTATCTCATTGTACGTGTAATCATAAATGGTATACAATATGATATCTTCATTGAACTAATTTTGTATCGATTCACAGAAAAGAGTACAAGATGAAACTCTGGCATTAATGATGTTACTGGGAATTTTGCCATTTGCCTTTGGATGGCATTTTGTTTCTTTTCTAGTTTGGGTCGCTCCGTGAGCATGTTTGTCGCTTTTTGCTCTATTGTTTCCAAAGTATGAAAGAAAAAAAAAAGGGGGGAAATGACAAGAATCCAGAATTTTCTCATTTTTCTAAATTATTTTTAATTTCATGGTTTGTCAGCCAGCCTTGTTATTGCAGAAGACCTAACTCGTGTCCAAGAGTGGTTAGTATGCACAAAAATTAACCAAAAATAGAAAATACCCTCACCTGATCTGTAGTCCCCATCTGTGGGAGTAGTGCCACTGGAACCAGTGGGAATATGAAGGTGAATAATGCTGAGGCTCTGGTTTTGTAAGATTTCTGCAGACTTCCCTGTGAAAAGGGCAGGAATATTTGAAAAATCATTTTAGCATTTGCTTTAATAGGTTTTCCTTTCTCTGAGGTCACCTTAATACGTGTTCTCTTCATTAGAGCAGTTGAAATGCTGATTATTTAAAGCGATTGTTCTTCTTTGCTTTATTTTGAATATTCCATCTGGCAAGATGTCTTCCTTTGGCAGGCCAGTTTAACAACTGTGGTGTGCGGTTAGGGCCAGAGCAAGTACTCGATGTTATTGCCAAGGGCTTGTGGTCACTTTTGGAAGGAGTGGATACTCCTGTTGCCTAATCAAACATGCGTTAGTACTTAGCGCTGGAGTGGGAGCGATGCAGGGTTAAGCATGAGCCTGGATATTTCCATGGGGTTGTGGTTGTGCTCTGGAGCTTCCCCAGCTGGATGTAACCATCCTGTGCTGCTCAGAAAGGAGACCGGTGAAGCTGACTTCTCTTTAGTTCTCTGAGGAGCCGAGCCTTTCTACCTATTTACCATCCTTTTTTTTTTTTTACATGCAAGCATGCTTTGTGGTCCATGACTGACTTCTGGTGGTTTTGGTTTCTGTGATGGTTTTTGTGCATTGTGGGGGAGTGGGTTTGTTAAACATGGCATTTCTGTATGCAAAATATTTGCAAGCTTTGTGCCTTATCTACATACCTTATTCCCTCTCTTCATCTATGGCTGTCACAATCACTTTTATGTTGGAAGGAGCCCAGAAGGAAGCAAGGAGGTCCAGGGGTCTTTCCGTATCCTCAGTCCCTCTGTGTCACTGCTGGTGCAGAGAAGCCAGGACTGTGTGGACCTGGCAGCAGACAGTATTTCCATGAAACAGGGGTTGCCCATGGCTCATGTGAGGCCAATTTGGCTACCGTCTTGGCCCCCTCCTCCTTGACCATGCATGCCCAGAGTGGACGTGATTGTGGGATGCGGCCAGAGTGCTCCGCCGGCACTTGCAGGGCTCAGTGGTGCCATGAGAGCTGCTCCCATCCTTCCCACTCATCTCCAGCCCACCTGGATTACGGCTCTGAACTGGGCTGGATTAGGGACCCACCAAGGCTCTGCATGTCCATCTGCGGAGGTTGGATATGGGAGGGAATCGGAAGCATAATCTGCACGACTGGTGGGATGGCAGACCTGCCTGGCTTAGCACTTTCTAGCACAGAAAACGGTACCTCCCTCAAAATCTTGGGGGATGCATAAAATGGGATGTTTACCTTTGAATAAATCCAGCGCTTTGTTTCTAGGGAGTATTTTCTAGGGAGCATTTCTCTGTGTTTGCTCTTCATGGAGGTAAAGAAACCAGAATATGGTGTGTTTTTAATAGTGTTTGTCTTTACATAAAATAAAAGGGGAAAATGATTATACAGTGAGGCTCTTGCAGGGGGGCTGCTTTCATGGGAGGGGTGGTGGAAAGGGGCCAGGATTGCTCAGAAAACCTGAAAAAGATTCCCCACTTCCTAAATGGCAGTAAACCCGATTGTAAGATGGATGTGTGGCCCCCTCTTACCCCAAATTCGTGTTCTTTGGAAGAAGCCCTCTGATTTTTTGGCTGTGTTGTTGGCACCAGCACAAGCCAGTCCTACTGGGGTGGGTTATCTAATGATAGAATCATAGAATGGTTTAGGTTGAAAAGCACCTTAAAGGTCATCGAGTTCCAACCTCCTTGCCATGGAAGAGAAGGGAGGGACATGTCCCTGCCATGGGCAGGGACACCTCCGACTAGACCAGGTTGCCCAAGGCCACATCCAGCCTGGCCTTGAACACCTCCAGGAATGGGGCCTCAACAACCTCTCTGGGCAACCTGTGCCAGTGCCTTACCACCCTCAAAGTGAAAACCTTCTTCCTAATGTTTAATCTAAACCTGCCCTCTTCTAGTTTATATCCATTCCCCCTCATCCTGTCACTACATGCCCTAGTAAAAAGTCCTTCCCCAGCTCTCCTGTAGGCCCCCTTTAGGTACTGGAAGGCGGCAATAAGATCTCCCCGGAGCCTTCTCTTCTCCAGGCTGAACAGCCCCAGCTCTCTCACCCTCTCCTCATAGGAGAGGTGCTCCAGCCCTCGGATCATCCTCGTGGCTCTCCTCTGGACATGCTCCAGCAGGTCCATGTCTTTCTTATGTTGAGGGCTCCAGAGCTGGACGCAGTACTCCAGGTGGAGTCTCATGAGAGTGGAGTACAGTGGCAGGATCACCTCCCTTGACCTGCTGGCCACACTTCCTTTGCAGCCCAGGATCCGATTGGCCTTCTGGGCTGCGATTGCACATTGCTGGCTCATGCTGAGCTTCCCGGGTACCACACAGATAGCTATTTTGGAAGGTGTGGAGGTACAGGAGGGGGTTTGGACCTGTTTTTGCGGTCCCTCTTCTCTAATGCACCCAGCTGGGATGCGATAGAGGCATTTGTCTTGTGCCAGGTGTTGCCTATGAGAATGGTGCTCCTTCAGTACCTCTACCTGCAGGTGGCTGCAGGTTATTTAGGTTCGTTCATTCTTTTGCTTTCCCAGGAATTTTGAAAAAATTGGAGATGAGACCACTGTTACCAAGATTTCTTTCTTGCTTGCCACTTCTGGTTTAATAAAAGGATCTGTCCCATGGTTGTGTTTTGCTTCTGAGCCTCTATAACACTTCCAAAATTATTGCAAGTAATTTCTTAAGCACCGGAAAGCACAGAATCTGTAGTTGCAGATTTGTGTGATGTTTTTTTCCTTAAGTGGTTCCTTAGCCACTTTTATCCACAGCTGTATTGACAAAGTCCTCATTACTTCCTAACTCTCCATGTTCCCCATTAACAACTCATTGAGAAGCAGTGGCTCAGCAGGTCCAGAACCATCGATTAATTCTCCTCACACAGCAGCAAAGTTCCTTCTCCAGCGTTTCCTCTGCCGCTCCGTCTTGGAGGAGCATTAACTCCCTGTACCGCCTGGCAGCCTTTAGCTCTTCCCCTTGAGTCTTAATTGAGTTGATGGATACATGTCTGGTTTTAACCTTCTTTTCACTTTCCTTTACTTTTCCCTGTATGTGGAGCAATCCCATAGGCAACTCCCATGGGTTATTGCTTGCTTTTTATTTTTCTGCCTGCCTTGCGCACAGGCACAGACACTCACAAATATACACGTTCCCCATACATGCACACACATGCAAATTGTAGCCTGTAGTCATTTGTGATTAACCAGAAGGGTTTGGGCTATCATCTGAATTTTGTTTCATGCTTTGGATAGTTATTAATGTACCTGGCTAATCAATATGATACAGCCCTTTTAATGAGAGGAACGTTCCACTGATATAAAATAACCTGAACTCATCCAAAGCACCTTTGTAACTGGTACAGCCATGTCCATTTTACAGATTATACTGGTAGAACAATTTCAGTAAGAAGATAACTAGGAAAATGTCCGTGACT